CCATTGCATTCCAGGGAAGCTGTTCTTTGGAAAGTCCCCAGTGGCTTCCATTTTGCAAATAATCCAGTGGTGACTTTTCAGGCCTCATCAACCTCATGAAACATTTAACCACCACCCCCTCCCCACCAACACACCAACACCCCCCCCACACACACACACAGCGCCTCTCCTCTCTATAGGCTCCTTAGGGCATCCCATCCAGTCTCCTAGATTTAAATACCAGCTCCCTGGCCAATGGCTCATTTTTATCTCTTGCCTGGCCACTCCTCTGGTGCTGGACACCGCTGTCAGATTGCCTTCCTGACCTCTCCACCTTGAGTCTAACAAGCGCTTCAAACTTAGCGGGACCCAAACAAAAATAGATTGATTCCACTCCCCTCCTTCTCCCAATCTTCCCCATCTGGGCAAACAGCACCAGCCATGTACCCAACTGCTCAAGTCAGAACCCTCAGAGCTATCCTCAACTCTTTCTCACCAGCTACCATCAAACCCAAACGGAAATACCTCCAAAGGTACGCACTTCCTGATACCTCCAAAGTGCATCTCACATGCACCTGCTCCCTCCACTGCCCATCATCTTCCACCATGCCTGCTCTCCAACTCCACACCTGCCCACTTCCACCACTGCAAGCCCCTTTATCAGAAGTTGGGAGTGTCACTTCCCACTGGAAACTTTCAGTGGTTTCTCGCTGCACTTCAAATGAAACCCAACCTTTTCAGAGGCCTCCAAAGTCCTGTACATTCACCTCATGCTGCCCTCTCTCTGTCCCTCTTGTCTACCTGTGCCCTTCTTATACAGGAACCCCCAACCCAAGTCCTTCCACACAGGCTCTCCTCCTGGTGCTCTCTTCCAAACCTCAGAGCACCTTTTTAGGCTACTCTAGCTGCGTAAGGCCAGGTCACTGTTCCCTGTGGTTTCATCATTTATCACATTTTGCAATATATATTTCTGTACGTGTCTACCACCCCTCTGAATGGTAAGCTAGAGGCTGGGGTGGAGGGAAGGGGAGAGGGAGGAAAATATGTCTATTTTAATTATCATCATAGTCCCAGAGCCTTAAGACAGTGCCTAGAATAGTAGGTACTCAGTAAAGTAGCTGCTGAACATACCAGTGAATAAAGTAGATCCAATTATGGCATGAAAATAATTGTTACCTTCTAGGAGCCCAGAGTTATCACTGCCATTAGGGCACACGGGTTCTCTTCCCCCCTTTCTCTCTAACAACAACAACAAAAAATGTTTAGTATTGTTGCACCGACAGCCCAATAACTCAGCATATCCCACCCATCCCCAGCTTGTTGTCTTTGACCAGGAAAACACAAAAACCATCCCCTCGCTCAGTAAACGCAAATTAACCAGAAGATCTTATGAGCAGGTACCATGAGTATCTAAAAATTCTTAGAAAATATCACACGGTCTTTTTGTTATGCAGTTTCTTTAACCCAGAAGAAAAGATTTAGTAAGAAGCCATGGGATCAAACTTAGTGTTACCAGGACTGTATTATTCCTTAAAATGCCAGAGTACCCGTGGTGACAAGTGCCAATAACTTGGTCGCCAGCTACTCCTGTCTCCTTCTCCCCACAAAAGAAATCTACTATGTTTTACTTTCCCCTTTATTTCTGTGGTTCCCCTCCAACATGCAAATTGAGAAATATTATTAATCCACAAGATCCCAGCTGATTCTAATCCTCCCTTCTCCCTAAATCACACTGTTTTATGAGGTCATAAATAAAATAAGCTGAATTCAACTGCTTTTAGAGCAGAACAACCAACATCCATTCGTACTGGCTGGGGTCTGAGCCTCTTGTCTGGATCCTCACTTTTTATGTCAATGTTCAAAGTCAATAAAAACATCTAGAGCTTTCCCCCAAAAAGACGCCCAAGGTGAAATACAGGATATCCCAGAAATGACAGGAATACGACATTACTATTATGAACTCTATCACAAACATATGACCAAATCCCAATTACCTGTATGTGAATTCTCCACACAAAGTGGGTAAAGCCACACTCGGCCTCCTCCCCCAAGACTACCTCCTCCTGCGGTGTGGGAATAACAGCTCAATTAACCTTAGTCTTGACCAAGCATAATTATACAGGTAAGCCAGCTGGCTGGAGGGGAAACTTTCAAGATTAACTGAAATTATTTTGGGTGCCTGGGGTTATGTGCCCCCAAGCTCTATTAGCACATATAATTGGGAAACAACCATCTACTTTTTTTCCCCAAGATAGTGGCAGACTTTCGTTAAGTATTTCCTTGTATTCTACGGTCAAGATTACCAGCTAGCTACTCAAGAGCCCTTTTTGGAATGCCAAGGTACAAATCCACTCTCCCCATGAGAAGACAAAAACGGAAGTTAATCAACTCGTCCTAGTCCATGAAGCAATTTGGCCGTTGGCCCAGGAAGAGCCTGTTGAGACCTCTTGAGACCTCGCTCCACAAGACCCAAGTCACAGAATTTCAGAAATGGGAGAAACTCATGGGTCAAATACGTATTTTTAACATTAAAAAAAAAACCAAAACCCAGAAATGGCTAAAAACTGGTACCTTCCCAACTTTTCTCCTAGGTGACATTTACTCCCTGCTTTGAGAATCAAATCACCTTAAAAGTTCTTTGTCACTTTACAAATACTGTGAACTGAGCCAATTCTCCAATGCAAGACAATGGTAACACTTTCTGATTAATAGTCTTGATGGAGAACCCTTAAACTTTCAAAAAAAAAAAAATCAATGCGTTTGATTATTATGACCAACCTACCTATCAGAGGAAAAAGAATATTCTGAGTAAGCTTTGTCTTTGTGACCACACATTTTATTATATAAGCAGCAGTCCCCTTTTACTACGAAAGCTCCTACTTCACCAAAAACCACAGGCCCAAGCCAGTTAAAGGAGGCAAAACTGAATACTTTTCACACAGTTCATAGAACAACTGTTTTCACAGCAAGCTCACATAAATGCTATGTGATATTAACACATGCCTGCTAGGTGGAAGCCGGCTTACCAAGCTGTGAAAAGACCCATGTTCACCATGGAACCTGCAGAATTAATATTCTCAATGCCCATAAAGCAGAAGGGAAATGCTCTTTTTTTAAGATGTCAAGCTGGCTTCTCAACAATCCTTTGGCGAAAATGGACATGCCTAAAAGGGCGGGGCCCCAAGAGGTGTGTCGCTCCCGGTATCAATTCCTATAAATCAAATCCTGACAATCACCACAATATTTTAAAAAGAATGAATTATGATTCATGGGCCTTCAAACCTTTATTACCACAAGAACATTCTCGGCAAAAGAGAAAAAAAAAGCTACTGTGACTTGATTAATGGCCAAAGCAAGACAATAAAATAAATCTCATAAATATAAGAAAAAAAAAAGACTGAAAGACTGCTCTTGGCTTCTCAGATAGACACGTAAATAATTCTACTACCCTGGGGTAAACACATATAAAGATTTTGTTTACCCTCCCAGCATATACACCATTTAGACTAAAATTCTCAACAGGGAAAAATAATAGTGAATTTGCTTAACTAATGCCTAGTTAGGAATATTTGATAAGTGGCAATAATATTTAATTCCCAATGAACTCAACTCTCAACTGGCCAAAAATCAAATTCTCAATCTGGAAATCTGATGACAGGAAGGAAAGAAGAAAAGTACCGTCCATCAGTAACACGTAGAGAGATCTTTTTTTAAAACCCATTTTTTCCTCTCCTAGAATTGAGCTCATCCACAGAATTGCACAAAGCTTAACCAACTTTAGTTAACCACACATGTAGGGTTTACTACCTGACCCTAAGAAACACGTCTGGGTTTGAGTCTCTGGAGTTAAAATTATACTGGCAAAGTTAAAACTCCCAGTATCATCAGGGTCCCTGATAGCCAAATCCTACAACTCATCTGCAGAAACCAGCAGGCTGAAGACCAGGACGAGAGAGGCTGGGAGAAGCAAAAACTGCTGGTTAACTGGTTAAGCTTGGAGTCCCGCTTATTATTCTGACAGTGGGCATCAAAACCACATTTTCTACCATCAGATTGCTTTCTTGAAACATAAATGATGCCGAAGGTTGGTACCAACTGGGACAACTTAAAACTCCTCTCTTAAGGCTCTCCGCCACGGCCTGCTAAAAGGGGAACCCAGGTGGCTTTGGGGAGGCATTTTTTTTTTTTTTTTTTAAGAACTCTTCAGTCATCCCTGGCTTCTTCATTCCCAAGCATCACCTCCACGGACTTCACCAGACAGCCCAGGCCACGCTGTGAGCCACCGGCTTCAACGCTTCATTTGCCAAAGCCACGTCTCGTCTTGGGGAAGAGTTTCCACAAAACAGGCTGTAACAGACCAGCCGAAGGTACTCGGAGGAACCAGAAGTCATTTTCTTTAACCTAAGGATGGCAGGCGCACATGCTCCAGCCCAGTGCTGGCCAGAGGCTGCCCGCCAGGTGCTCTCGGCCTCCGCCAGTGAATGGGTGGTTTTGTGTTATTAAATGTCTATTTCTTCAGCCCACCAGCAGTAACTTCCCAGTCTCCTAAACTGAAGTTAGGGAGTGAAGGGGGCAGGCTTACCCCCTTACACATTTCTCTTATCTGGGTGGCCGCCGTAACTTGGGGGAGTACCCAGCCCCCAAAGAGCCTTACAGGCACATATCCATACACATATGCATCATGTCAAAAACCCCCAAAGGCACATCCCTAGGGTCCTGCGGTTTCTTGGCTGGAAGAATGAAGGTTTTATAACATCACAAGCTTCAATTGCAAGCCCCACCACCACCACCCTTTAAGCCGGGGCTGCCAATTATAGCGCCCACCGTGGCCCTCCCCCCTTGCGGGGATGCTGGACAGCCCGCAGAGGGACGAAGGAAGGGAAGCAGAAAGAAGGCCCTGCTAACAGACTGAAAGTACAGAAGTGGGGGGGGGAGACTTTTCCCTTCCCCTCCCCCGTCTTCTCACGGAGCATCCCCCAACTAATTTTTTTAAAATGAAACTTAATAAGCTTCTTGCCTACCTTGGCTGTTTCTGCAACAAGTGCATGGGCAATCCGACAAGACCAGACTCCGCTTGGGGGGTGAGATGGGGGGCGAGCAGAGCTGATGGAGTAATTTCAATATTAATTTATGTCAGAGCCGCCTTCTCCAAGCGCTACTCACTTACAGTACTGCCCTCAGCCTGTAAACAAATATCGCTCCGCCAGGAAACATACTCCCCAGATGCAAGCCCCTTCCCCAGCAGGGAACAGGGCCCTGCGCCGCCCCCACCCCACCCCCAACAGCATGCGCCCCCACCCCGAGGAGGAAGCTCCGGGTTCCCAAAGCACCAACCCACCACCTCCGCCACCACCCCAGCAAGAAACTTACTCGGTCCGTCTACGCCTCCACCCTCCCTTCAGGAAATCTACTCTCCATATGCATTCAGCCTCCCCGCAGGAAATCTGCTCCCCCCTCCCCCCTTCTATATACATGCACCCCTCCCTCTCCTCCTCCCCACGCGCCCTCCCCAACCAGAAACTTACTAGCGTGCAAGCGTGCAGGCTCTCCTGATCCTGGAAACTTACTCCCAGATATAGCACCCGCCAGCCCCCTTTCCCGGCCCTGCTCCCCTTCCTGCCCTCCGCGGCAAGCAACTCCAAACTCTCCGCATCCAGCCCCTCTCCCTCCCCGGTGGAAATTTGCAGCGCGGGGCCGCGCGCGTGCATCCACCCTCCCCTTCAGGAAACTTACTCCCCATCTGCATGCACCGCCTCTCAGCCATCGCTTAGAGGGAAGGGGGTGTGCTAGGGAGACAGAAATACATATGTATCTCTCGCCCCTCCCCCGGCCGCAGCCCACTCGGGGCCGAGCCGCGGTAACCTGGCCTTACCTTTTGCATTGCTCCCCACCCTCGCCCCCTCCCTTAACCCTCCTTATCCGCTCCCCGGCGCCCCCCTTTTTTCACCCATTACCCACCCCTAGCAACCGTTCCCAAGCTCCTCTCGGCCTTTTTTTTTTTAATCCAGGATGCAAATTCCTCCCCTGTCAGCAAATCGACTGTCAAATTATTTTCTTGCAAAAGGAGAAAGGCGGGGTGGGGGGGGGGGAGCAGAAGCAAAAAAGGGGAGGGCGGGGGAAGGGAGAGAGGGACAGAGGAGGGGAGAGATATCCCTCCGCAGAGCTGGGTCTGGCGGCGGGCGGGGAAGCAGGAAGTAAGGTGTCCAGCGCCGCGGCCGGCGGGTCCTCCGCCGCGGCCCCCACCCGCGCCCCCTGTCCCCCCGGGCGACGCGCTCGGGCGGGCGCGGGCAGCCTAGCGCATTGTTCGCAGCCTCCCCGGCGATGCGCTGCCGACCTTATTTGTGTGCTCTGCATGTGCGTGAAGTTGCACCTTTTGTAGGCTGGCGAGACTCTGGAGGAGGATGGGGCGGGGGACGCGGACCGAGTTGCGGCCCCGTGCGGGACCTGTCAGCCCCGGGGTGTGGCGGACTCTCCGGCGTGACCGGAAAATCGAGGCCCGGGAGAAGGCGGCGTGGTCGGGAAGCTGCCGCCTTAGACCCGGACCAGTGCAGGATTGCTTCCTGCGTAGCCGTCCCGGTTATTGTAACGCGCTTTGCAATTGAACGACTGGGGGTGGGAGTGGGGGTATTTATTTTTTATTTTTAAGGGGTTGCAAAGACGCCAGGGTCTAGGTGGAGTGCGGAGAGATGGCCTGTGCCTACCCCCGCTGCACCGAGGCTCGGCGGGGATGGGAGAGGGGCTGGGGCTCCCGGGAAGGGGCTGGAGGTTCGCGAAGCGCGCGGCTCCATCCCTCCGCCCCGATGGGGGCGGGGAGGGGGTGCTGCAGCCGGCGCTGGAAACGCAGCTCTCTGGGGAGGGGTTCTCCATCTCCGCGGCGCTGCAGGCCGGGGAGGGAGGTTGCCTAGGAGAGGAGCCGGGGCCGAGAGGGGAGGAGAGGGGAGGGGAGGGGGCGGGGGTGCGGTGGCTGCGCGCGCTCGCCCCTCCTCGCGCGCCATGACTGTGGAACGTGGTGCCGGGGAGGAGGGACAGCCGCCGGGGGCCGCCCGGGGCTGCTCGGCATTGGTGCGGAAACCCGAGCCCCGAGTCGCTCCTCGCGCTGTCTCCTCCTCCGCTGCGGGGGAAACCGCTGCACCCAAACCGAGAGCAGCTGCGAGCAGGGGGCAGGGCGCGGGCTGAAAGGCGAGCCGAGGGTTCAAACCTCGGCGGCGCCAGTGGGGCGAGGGCAGGACGGCCCCCAGGGCCCCGCGAAGGCGCGGCCGCCGGTCGGTCCAGCGCGGGACCCCGTCATTTCCAGGCTTCTCTCCTGGTCAGAGGGAATGGGAAACCAAAGGTGGCCAGGCTAGACAGACCCCCTCGAGCCGGGTCCGAGGCGTCGATCTCTGGAAGGGCCCACAAGACAGCGAGTAGTTTTTGCTCAAGGGAAAGTTAAGCCATGCTTTTTTTTTCTAGTGAGGGGAAATCGTTGCGTCCCTTCCCCCAGATCTCGCGCGGGATAAATGAGGGGCTCCCCTACCCAGACCTTCACTGCTGTCCCCCACCCCACCCCCACTCGGGCGCTGGGTGGGGACAGGGCGGGGGAAGGCTATATGGGAGCTTAAAGCATGAGGTCATGGGCGGAGGAGGCTGCTGCCAAAAGCGGCCGAGGTTTGTGTGTATTTTGAGGGGTAACGGTTCTTCTTCAGCAGTGGTAAATTCTCCCGCCTGACCCTACCAATTCTGGGGCGCCTGGGCCAGAGAGCCCCCGAAAGAAGAGGGTGGCTCTGGCTATTTTCGCTCAGTGAGTGTTTGGCCGGTGCCCAGCCCTTTATGAGGTCCTTCCATAGAAGCAAAGAAAGCTGAGGGACAGCGCACAGTGTCTCGGGGACTGAGAAAGGCTTCAGATGCTCGGTTGCCGCCGCCCCCCCCCCCTTCTTTGGTTCTCAGTCTCTTTCAATCGGACTCCTTTCTGTGATAGCCTCCTGCCCCCCTCCCACCCATTCTTCCCTAGCGGCCAGAGGAGTCTCTAAAACTCCGCACACTCCTTCAAAACCCTCCCAATTGCTCTTAGAATAAAGGCAAGCTCTGAAGCCCCTGCGTGATTTCGCCTCTACAGACCTCCCCACTCTCCCAGCCCCTCCCCTCCCACACTGTAAGGCGGGTGGTGCTTCTTTGTTCTGCATGGGGCGGGGGGCGGAGGGGAGATCACTAACCTTCTTATTACTAACTCCCGCTAGACCATTAGGATTGGACTCGACGGTCGTCGCTACCTTCAAGAAGCCTTCCTGAGCATACAATCTCATCTCTAACACCCTCGGGGGAGAAAGATCCACCCTAGGACACCCCTCCCTCTCCCTCCAATCCAGCTGCCGCTGGAGCTGGCCCCAGTAACAGCCCTTTTCCCAGCGGGGCAAGAATAGCTAAGCTTGAGCGCCATCACTGCCTGGGGCCTGACCTCCTGGAAGGGAGTTAGCCAGGAAAAAACCTCCAAATACCCAGTCACCTCTAGAGACCTGGAAGAAGCAGCACTTCCACGTCTCACCCCCAGCACACACCCGTACGTGGAAGGCAAGGAGAGGTCTTTCCATCTGAAACTGTCTCCTTGGGGCAGACAGATAAGGAACCTGAAGCAAAGACCGAGTAGGTAAATGGCCCAGGGTCAATGCAGAAATTCACACTCTGGTCTTTCCGGCTCCTAAACCAGAAGATGCAAAAAAGGAAGGATTTGGGATTTGGGACCCAAGGTATCGCTGCTACACAATCAATCAGGCTTGAGTCACCTTCAAAGACCCCCTGCATCCTTGGGCCACTACCAACAGAGAAGTAGTATTGCCTATTGGTTAGTCCAGCAAGCTCTGACCTTGAAGCAACTTGATTCAGTTGCTTTGCCTATAAAATTGGAATCGTGGTATCTACAGTGTAGTGTTGTGAGGTTTGAATGAATTAATATATGTAAAGGCCTTAGAAAAGTGTCTAGAAAAATTCTTGATTATTTGTGAGAGGGAGTTAGGTGCCTCCCCCCTTCCCAAGGACCCTAGAAAATCAGGTCCTCAGAGACTACAGCTGACTTAACCATCAAAAGTGATCTGGCCCAAAGAACTCAAAAGCCCTGATAAATGCACAGATAACACACAAATATGTTATTTAGCCAGTAAATTCAACCCTCAACAGTGCAAGTGCTTGGAGACAGTCCACGGGGTGGATAACCCCCATTCTGTGAGCTGTGGTTCTGGACCCTTAGAATGAGTGTCAGAGGGAGGACACCTGAGATTAAAATATCACCTTGGATCTTTGAAATTACAGTCAAGCTTGGGGCACCTGGGTGGCTCAGTTGGTTGAGGGTCTGCCTTGGACTCAGGTCATGATTCTAGGGTCCTGTGAACAATGACCATCAATGGCTCATCAGGGAATGTTTCCCTCTCTGCCCTTCCCCAGCTCATGTTCAAATAAATAAATAAATCTTGGGAAAAAATCAGAGTCAGGCTGAAATACTCCTAATACTGGTGCAAAACCCACCTTGTATAACCTAGACCCTCCTAGGGCTGCAAAAAATGTAAGGGGACTATTTTTCTTATCATTAGATTCAAGTCTTTCCATTCTCACTACCCCCACGATAAGGGGGTTTTTAAAAATGCACTCACATGGCTCTAGATTCAAATAAACATTGAGAAGTCTCCTTCCCACCCTGTCTGACACCCACCGATTTTCCCTCTGTGGAAGCAACCAAGGTCAGTCTTCAGAAGACATGTTTAACTGTTTTCCAGCTGAGGCCTTCAGAGAATTCCTTGAATGCCTGTTTATATCTTTATGTCCAGAGCTCCCTTCTCTAATCCAGGCAGAAATCACTACCCAATCCCACCCTAGCCACCCCCTTCAGGTTGTATTACTAGTGATGAACCACCATTTCCTGACCTACCAACAAAAGCAAACACTTTGCGGGTTCTTTTTCCTTTTCTACACCAATAATAATCACTAAGGTTTATTGAGTGCTTTCTATGTGCCCAGCGCTGTGCTAAGTACTAGATATGCCTAATCCTACTTAATCAGCCCCAAATCATCATTATCCTTACTTTACAGATGCAGACAGAAGTGGAGGATC